GAATCACTGGTTTAGACACTAAACATTTTACAGGATGACACCAGTGTTTCAGAAACACACGGTTTGTTTTGAGAGACTGTGGCTTTTACATGTGCTGGAACTCAGTTTACATTCAGGTTTCAGCTCATTGTTATTCTCTGTTGCCTTTTGATTCAGGTAACCCAGGAAGAGGGCCAGCAGCTGGCCAGGCAGTTGAAGGTGACATACATGGAGGCTTCAGCCAAAGTCCGTATGAATGTAGACCAGGCTTTCCACGAACTGGTTAGAGTAATCAGGTAGGTGATTTATAAAGGGTTCTTTTATATTGTCCTCGTGTGGATCTCTCAGTAACTTTGCAGTTTTTCAAAGGTATATTAGTGTTCAAAACAGTGATTATTTTGATACCCCTATGATAACAGTTAATAGTGTAGAACACAGGGAAGGGTTTTACACATGGTGCACATATTACATATTACTTAGCTAGTAAAATCTTTAAATGCCTCTTAAAAACAGTGAAACAATCTGTAAAGCAACAGCCAGAACATGAATGAAAACATATGTATTTTTAGTAAGAGTTTAAAACTGGCCTTTACAAATTATAGAATCTTTTATTTATCGCTACTTTTAAAGGAAAAGAGCGATCACAAAGTGTGTCCTGATAATTTTGCTCTTTCCCAACTCTTAGGAAATTCCAAGAACAGGAATGTCCACCGTCGCCAGAACCTACGAGAAAAGAGAAAGACAAGAGCGGCTGCCACTGTGTGATCGTCTGAGTCGACCTTATCACTGTAACTCATGCAGCTGCTCTCTACCACCCCACCCACTCTGCCTGACATCACATCCTAAGTGGATGACTGACCGCTGCCTTGTCTACATGCATGACTTCAGACACCTGTTTCTGAGATACTCTGACCAGGAACTGCTGTCCCCAGGACATCACTATGGACAAATGACAATGCCAAATTTGACACCACTCTACCTTCAGCCATAATATAATTCATGTGAGAATCCCAACACTAAACATTGCCTTCTAAATCAACCTGACAAATTGATGTTTTGTACTCTGAAGGACTTCTCTTGCCTTGTAGTGATATTTGTACTTGCTACCAAGATTGAATGAAAACTATATATCTCGAATGTTAATGATTTTCTTTAGTTTCCGGTGTCTGGCCAGAGCAGAGAGAATATCTAATGAAGCTTTGTGTATGTTGTGCCATATCCACCTTTACTCCCATGTGCTAATCTGCTACTGTACATAAGTGACATTTGTTGTGATTTTTGAAGTGTATTTCTAATGACCTATTAAATCACCACAGTACTGTGTGTGAGGTTGCGTTTGGTTTTACGTCTATGACAGTGAATATATAAGTACGTATATTAAAAAGAATGTCTAGACAGCCCTACAGCTACAGTGATAGAGCTTCCCGGTATTCTGCAGTGGATTCATTACGTTGTCTGTGGTCTCTGCTTTCATCTCAGTTGCTAACTATGGAGTGTCTTAACACATTAGATTTTTCAAAAGTCTTATAGATTGAAGGATCCATATCCTATGCCAGCTCCTCAGTGTACCGAAAGTAGAAATCTTGTCTGAAATTCTTTCCTCAAACGTCAGTCAAACGTTGACGTTTCAGATTTATAAGAAGTAACAGCGACAGAATTATTGGTAGTAGCTTTGAAGACAAACATGATTTTAGATCAAAACACTGAACACTGTATGCTCTATATTCAGTTTTTGACAAGTAATGTTAACAAATCAGCAAATCAAGAAGCTTTCAGAGCTCAGTTTAGTTCAGATCATTCCGATGTAATGCATCAGTTCTTTTTCAAACACTTACTCTACACTGTAGATCAAATTACTGTTATATCATTCCAGTAACACAATGGCAATGTATTTGTTTTATGTCCTTGCGCTATTTTGTTACACAACTTTTTTCACCCAATTGGAAAACCAGGACAAGTGGAAGCACTGAGATGCACATCATGAAACATCCCATCCCCAATGGGACACGAACTCACCGGACCTGCCACCTGTGGAGCCATCATTGCCACAGACACATAATACTATTCTGCCTTCCCTTTCCATATTTGTACTTCTGTTCCGGCATACAGATGAAGTACTGCAGTTTGTTTTTCATATCATCATCTTGTAACATAAAACAACAAGCAAATCAGATGATGGAAGTAATGGACTTGATTAAATGTTTCTACTCTACTTTTATACATTATTTTCTTATCAAACTGGTTGACAAGTATTTTTATATGTTTATAAGTGAATACATGTTCACAGCACAGCTGTGTGTATATGTAAAGAGGAATATTTAATTCTCTTATTTTAAATTAAAGATGACTGTTGGCCCAAATTTGAAAAATTGGATTCATCACCGAGATGTGACCAAGAATATTTTTCTTATTGTGGCTTATTAATGGAGAATATATTTATCTTGAGATGTTCATCAAAAGGTCACCATATAAAAATGTTAGGTCAGGTATGAGGCAGTTTGAGAAATGATTCTTTGCATAGGAACTGCACAAATGAATTATACTCACTGAGATCTGAAATACCCACTTCCCATCTTACTGCAAATTCTAGTGTACATCCAAATCATACAGTTTTTGTTTGTTTGTTTTGTTTTTTGTTTGTTTTTAACTTTTTCTCATATCAGTGTCTTTTGCCATGTGTTTAGCTTTTGGTGCTAAAATAAAATCTGTCATTGAGTCAGATGAGGCAGTGAATCATTCTTTTAGGTTCAAAAAGCTGCAAGGGTCTTAATCATACTGACATAGTTGTGTCAGTGAGATTTAACACTGCAGTCATCAGTCATGACTGATGGACAGAAATCAAATAATCCACATAGTGTCTCATTATTATTCACAGTAGGACTCCAACTAGTATGCCATCAGTGTGACAAGTCATATCTCAGAAAACCATCAGGATCCAATCAGCAATTTCTGAAATACTGGATTTGATCATATGTTTTGTACCACTGCTTTACAATCCTGTTGGTTAGTATATATCTACTCACTGGTTTAAACTGCACCTAAACTGTGTGATATATAGCCTACATGTGTACATGTAATAATATACTGTATGTGTAATAATACACATTCCTCTTCTGATTCTGTTCAGATGTCATCTATTCCAGCCTGAACTACCTGTCACTTGGTTTGAACATCACTGACAGATACTGATTCAGTGATCCCCTTACTCCCTCCAGGAACTGCAGAGATTGATTAGTGCTAGAATAAAATCAGAAGGCTTGATAAATTCAATTTAATTCAATTTGTATAGCACCAAATCACAACAAAAGTTGTCTCAGACCATGATATTATTAATATTATAGAGGAAAAACCCAACAAATCCCCTTTCATCAAGCACTCGGCAACATCCCAAATATGCATTTTTATCATGTGTACATTACAGCAGCTGACCGTTGCTATAAAGAGAGAAACAATGTACATGGATGGCTAAAAATAAAAAAAAACTCTTAGCGTGTGTTGCCTTTCTTTGGGTGTGTTGACATACTGTACAATGAACCCAACAAATAAGTTGTATAATGGGCACACCTGCTGTATGTGAATCAAATATATGCATACACATATTTGACCACAAGGGGGTTGTTTTGACTAAAGAAATATTAAATGCTTAAACCACAAGGGTTTTTTTAAAAAAGATGTATAACACTGAAACCTTGTAAGCAATTTTCCATTTATAAAGTGCCTTATACAGAATATTGCCAGTGATCACACTGCAAGGTAAAGGCTGCAAAAACAGAATTTTGCAGTGTAAGTGTCTTTCCTTCCTTCCTTTCCTCTTTGTACTGGTCCACCCACTGACTGGTTTTAAAGCATCTTCATGTTTGCTCAGTATAACAGATGTGCAGATAATGATCTTATAGAAGTGCAGCATTCCTAACCTACATGCAATAAACAATGAGTTGTATGTGAACCTGATCCTATGAGGAATATTAGAATGATAGCCATTCCAATTTTCCTTAAATTACATCCATGGCAAATTTGAGGGTGCATATACACATTTCAAAAAGAAAAGAACAGAACTACAGATTTCTTCAGCATGGCCAGGCTCCTCTTTGCCTTTGCATTGATCAGCAAACGGGTGAAAAGGGTCAGTGTTTTCTTATTGGCTATTGGCAGTCAGAACATGCCAATAATCATAATAAACAAATCACAGTTTCATCCATCGATACTGATTGTTTATTTAGGCTGAAGCCTGTACGAGGCTACTGACGCACAGGGCACAGTCAGTGGGGATTTTGTCAGTGGAAATAAATCAGCATCCCGGCGTGCACCGTGCGCTGACAGCTCGCTCTCCCCTCTCTGTGGTGGTACAGGCCATAAGAGAGCGTCTGACTGTGCACAGCCTCCCTGCCCATTCACTTCACAGCGATTCCTTTAGTTCGTGTTTGCATGAGTGAGGACGGAGAGAGGAGCGTTTACTCCTTCATTACGCTGTCTCACCACTAACACCAGTCCACCCAGTTCGCCGGAGACATGGAGGGAGTCAGCAGCAACAGGAGCATGTCATACAGTAGATGGAGTTATGATAGGTAAGAGAGCCTTCCCCCATAAGTGTATGTTTAAAGCGCAAGTTTTCATCATAGTCTGTTTCGCTTCGTTTGTTTTGTCATAGCCTACAAGGCCGGTGTTGTAAAGGTGGGAACCCCCACTTGCGCAATTACTAGAAAGGTGCAACGGCTTTGGAAATGAGAGGTGCGATGTGTGTACCAATAGCCTGGGCATCATACTGTGTATGATGGCAGATATACAGGATGTCTGCTTCATGTCTATGGTGTATTCACAAATAAATAGTCTTAGAAAGTAGATCATCGCAAAACATTCCTAGTGTCTACTCATGGTACCTTATTTTATCTATCTATCTTATCTGTCTATCTATCTATCTATGACTTGACATTTAATTACTTCAAGTTCTATATGCTGGAAAAGTGAGTGTTCATTTACTGTATAGACCAAAATCAAAAGCACAATGGAAAGAATATCTGTGTATACAAGCTAAAGTGCTTCAACCACAGAGCCTCATTAGCCAGGACCTTAGCAGGCCATGCAGTGGGGGTTACTGTGATTGTGATTTGTTATAAATTTAAACAGGCATGTGGAGTATAAACACAGAGAGTATAAATGACTAAATGACCCTATAGAGCCAGCTTGGCAATAGCTACATTTCTTTTTTTATATTCTTTCTTTTTTGGGAAGGAATTTTAACATACTGTATGAGCAAGTGGAAGATTGGTTACCAAGGTGTTATTTATGACACATTTGCATCTCATAATTGAGTATTGTTAATGAAAATAACAAAATGTCCATATTTATGTGTATGTGTGTGAAGTCATCTGCATAATGTCACACATAAGTAAGCACGACTGAGTCACTGAATGGCCATGAGTGAAAGGGGCTTGAACACGGAGAGAACATTGTATTAAGCATTATATTAATACTATAAATACAATCAAAGTATATGCTGTACAATTGGCACACTCACTGTGGTACATATACATTAAAAAAATCTATTTAGCTTTTGGATATAC